TTTATTTTCAAATATTATTATATTAAATTTTATTTAAATATTTTAAATAATTAAAAAAGTAGATCAGAGACATATTTCAGTCAGAGATTTTACCATATTTGGTCATTGACACCTTATTTAGTAATAATTGCCAATTAGATTATTCTAGATTTCTTACTAGATTGTTCTATATATTACAATATTTAGCCAATCAAATTAATTACTGAATATATTGCTCTGTAGCTTTAAATTTTTATTGTGCTTTTATATATTACTATATTAAATATTTTCTAAAGTTTGAAATTTAATTTACATATCTTAGTTACTCCATTAGTTTTTCAGTAAAGTCAACAGTTTTTTGGCAATATAATACTGTAACAACCATATTAAATATGTAGTTTAATACGTAGAAATTTTGTCTTTTAAATACTTTTAAACTTGGGATTAAGTATTAGTGCTTTTTAAGAAAGAAACAGTCTTAATTTTTATTTTTAATTTTACAAATGTTATATTCTTAAAAAAATACTCTAAAATGCATAAATACAATAGTAAATGATTGACTACTTGAAATAAAGTTATCATATAGCCAATACATATATTTTTTTAAATACTATATTTAAGCAAAATTTTATTATATTTTGTAAAATATACAATTTATAATGCTACTCCTTAAAGTAATTAAAAATTATATAAGCCATTAACCTACATTCTTTAAATTTCCTTTCACGCCATTTCATAATAGTAACAGATAGCAGTTTTAAAAAATTACTTGCCCACAAGCTGCTAAATACGTATAAACGTATTCAGCACCAATTCATAAATAATTATAATAGCAAACTTGATATGTTCTGTTAGAATAATTTATATTTGCTGATTTGTTGATAATAAATGAATGCCTTATTTTAATCCCTTTCATCACCAATTCCTTATTCTGGTATTCATAACAGTACTCAAGCCAGTATATTTCGTCTGAATCTACCAAATTAACAATCTTTTGTTAATTGGTTTTCTATTAAGTCAGAAAAAATACATCATACAGATAATGTATATATATTATACTTAGCTTGTAAAATATTATATAACCAAAGTTTACTCAAAGAATCGGTATGGTTTTCTACAATGCTGCAATGTGTCTCCGTTACACCTGTAGTATATACATACATACTCAAAGAAGTCAGTGTAAAGTGTTTGTAAAGTGTATTAGCTATCTTCTTTCTCTAAAATCTAAAAAAGTAGCGTGATATTCTTGCAAAACGTGTCTGTTAATGATTTTCATCATAAGATTCAAGTTTATTCAAATGAAGACCTAAAGAATAGGCTCTAGAGTATTTCTGTAATACAACATAAAGAAGTCAGTATGAAGTTCTTGTAAAGTGCATTAACTATCGCTGTCCTTATCTGTTAACACTTTTCACTATATGATTCAAGTTTATTTCATCAAAGATCTAAAGTATATTCACTACATCTGTAGTACATATATATGTCTTAAAGAAGTCAGTGTGAAGTTTTGTAAAGTGCATCAATTATTACCAGTTTTTGCAAAAAATATTTGTTAATACTTTTAACTATATGATCTTAACAAAGTTTAGAGAATCAGCGTGGTTTCCTTTAGAGTGTCTTTGCTACACCTGTAGTATATACATCTGTTTTAAAGAAGTGTGAAGTTCGTGTAAAGTGCATCAACTATTACCAGTCTTTCAGAAAGCATCTGTTATTACTTTTCATCATATGATTCAAGTTCCCAACGAAAGTCTAAAGAATCAGCGTGGTTTCTTCCAGAATATCTTCATTACACCTATAGACATACTTATGCTTAAGAAAGTTAGTATGAAATTCTTGTAAAGTAAATCAGTTCAAAGCTAGCATAGTAAAGGACCAATGATTTAATAAATGTGGCTTTCTTTAATATGTGTCTGCTAGATTTCATTATAATCAAGATTTAACAAAGATAGTGTAACATTCTTGCAGTGTGCATTAACTAATACTTTTCCTACCTGGTTTAATTTTATTCCTTTCAAAATTTCAAGAAATCAATATGAAGCTTTTGCAGAATGCAAATGCTAATGCTTACTTTCTGGTTTAAGATTAATGCTATTAGGAGCCAAAGTCATTACAGAATTTTTGCAAATGTGTGCTGCTAATGTTTCTCTCTTGGGTTCAAGTTTGCTTCAACTGAAAAAATAAAGGTTGTGACATTATAGATTCTAAAGCAATTACAAAAAAGCTAGCTTTAATATGCAACATTCATGTGAAAATTTTCAAATTTTTAAATCTCATTTACTTTTTTAATGAGGGTTGATCCCAAAGTACTATTTATTAATCCTGATAGTAGAGGTTTTTTAACTTTAATGTGTATAATTATTAACCATTAATCTCTGTTACAAAATTAAGATTCTTAGCTTTCTAAACCTGTTTTTAACATTTCATTTACTTTTTTGACAAGGGTTGATCAACGTTGATTAACTTTGATTATTTAAACTAGACGTCTTGAACTATATCTTCAAAGGTTATTAAATTCAAATAGTTATTAAAAATTTTTTTTTTAAAATATAACGATGTTTGAGGAGCGAAAGGTATATAAGAGCCAATTAAATTCAGAGATCCGTTTATAAATCATTCTAGAACATGATTTCTTAATTTGGTAAATTCTCTGACTGTATTTATAGTAATTATATAGGCAAATTTGTCTGCAAATCTCTACCAATTAAGGGATACAATAGAACAAACTATTACTTGCAGTTAAAGTATATTATAACTACTACAAAAAATTAGTATGATATTACACTATCTACTTTTCTATTTAATAATCTAAATTAAGTATATATAGTATATAGCTAATTTTAAATTTAGATAGCTATACCAATTTAATTTTTTATTTAATATAAGGGCACTGATATTTATTAGATAATATTTTAGGGAGTGGAGGTTAATCAAAATCTTACCTTATATAAAACAATTATAGCTAATCAAATTTAGCTAAATATCTTATCTAAGGTGGGAAAGCCTCTATAGTAAAAAAATATTAGATAATAAATATCAGCACTCTAACTTTTTTTTTTAAAAAAAATAATTATATATAAAAAACAATACAATATTTATATTAGCTAATAAAAAGCTTGTATTTTGATTATATAAACTTTACTATAGATTAAACAAACTATTAATTCTATTTTAACTAATTTTATTAATATTTTTTGCAATTATAGTCATTCTTTTATAATCATCTTCTATATAGTTACAAACTCTATATAATCACACCAAAAATATGATCTTATTTTTTTTATATTAAAATTATCTTCATATAGTTACAATTATATTATAATCACTATTATATTTTTTTAAAATTTGTTGGCCGATTTTAATAATAAAATTACTTTTTCACAATCACATTTATATATGATTGTAGATAGTTTCATATAAAAAGTTATAATTTTAATAATTAAATCAATTTTTATATAATAAGTAAAATTGTTTAGAAGAATAAAATATATTTATTATTAAATTTTTATTAAAATTAAATATTTTTTTATTTGTATTTAGATTTAGCTAGTTTTAGCTTTAAATTATTTAGTCACACTTTTTCTCCCTACAAATATAGCT